GCGAAACGCAAGACAAAATTTCTGTGCTTCTATGATTTTAAAGCCAAGTTGAAATGTATAGAATTCATTTCGGCAAACACAATAATTTTCTTCCTTTTTGTATATATAATAATTAGAATACTTACGTAAAAAATAATCATTATACTCTAATAATAATTCACAATTACTTCATCTTTCCTGAAACGTGCGTGAAGGTTAACCCCAGCGTTTTTTTTAGGGATTTCAATTTTCTAATGTACACAATATTTTATAGGGAATTTAATCAAGAAAAATAAAATATGTGCAGGTTTCTTCCAAACTTTAGTATAAGGGGAAAAAATTAGAGCTCATCAGTTTTTTTCACTCGAATTTTTTCTAAACCATTTCTGGTTTTGATACTTTACGTACACAAAACGAAGTAAATAAGACTTCAAATTTTTGGCATTTCTGGAACAGTATTAAAATCAACATGGACACAAACTAAAAATTGGTAGTTATATGGTTCGCAATATTAGATTTAGCTGTAACTAAGTAACTATCTAATTACTAATATGAGTCTCGTAACTAATGAACTGGCGGAAGTTGATCAATCTATGCGTCTTGTTAGTAATTAATGACGTTGAAAAGAGAAGCGGTGAATGAATGGTCTAAAAAAAATAGGTGTGTGTGAATGTGTCTTAAAAAATAAGTAGTTAGTGAATGTTTTAAGAAGATAATTTTTGCGTGAATGGTTATACAAAAAGCAGTGATATGTAAATGGTAATAAAATTAGTCGTGAATGGTTTAAAAAATATAACTCATGCTGCAGTACTCACTGTAGTGAGTGACAGAGAGCGCATTTTCTCGTCGACGAAAACTTGAAGTCACGGACGGACAGACGGACGGACAGACAGACGGACGGACGAACGGACATGGCGAGCACAATAGTGCATTTTTTCCATAAACGAGAAAATGCGCTAAAAAGAGTGGTGTGTGTGAATGGGTCTTATAAAATAAATATTTCGTGAATGTTTTTAAGAAGATAATTTTTGCTTGAATCCAAAAAGCAGTGGTATGTAAAATAGTAATAAAATGAGTCGTGAATGGTTTAAAAAATATAACTCATGCTGCAGTACTCACTGCAGAGAGTGACAGAGGGCGCATTTTCTCGTCGACGAAAACTTGAAGTCACGGACGGACAGACGGACGGACGGACGGACGGACATGGCAAGCACAATAGTGCATTTTTTCAATAAATGAGAAAATGCGCTAAAAAGAGTGGTGTGTGTGAATGGGTCTTATAAAATAAATATTTCGTGAATGTTTTAAGAAGATAATTTTTGCGTGAATATGGTTATCCAAAAAGCAGTGGTATGTAAAATGGTAATAAAATGAGTCGCGAATGGTTTAAAAAAAGAGAAGTAATTCTTGAATGGTTTTCAAAGTTGTGCGTGGCGGCGGCTCCCGCCCGCGACGGCGACACTGGCAAACTGCCAAATTACAATGCATGTTCTTCATCGCAGATAAAAAAGACATGATAGCAATCATGGCAATCTACTCTATGATTGATTGAAGTGAAATAAGCATGGCAATCTACACTTCGATTGATTGAAGTGGAGCAATCATGGCAATCATTAATTGATAATTCAACCAAACTATGATTAATTGAAGTGGAGCAATCATGGCAATCATTAATTGATAATTCAACCAAACTATGATTAATTGAAGTGGAGCAATCATGGCAATCTACACACTATGATTGATTGAAGGAAAGCAATCATGACAATCTATACTCCGATTGATTGAAGTGGAGCAATCATGGCAATCTACACTCCGATTGATTGAAGTGGAGCAATCATGGCAATCTACACTCCGATTGATTGAAGTGGAGCAATCATGGGAATCTACAAACGATTGATCGAAGTGAAGCAATCATGGCAATCTACACTTAATTCGATTGATTGAAGATTGAAGTGAAGGTAGCTTAACATGATATTTTAACCGATTAGGTTAACACAGCCGTTAACCCGTCAGATTAACATGGTCTTTTAACCAAGCAGTTCAACTATAGGTATGTTATAGTACGATATATGATATATAGTAAGACGATATGATATATATTATGGACACAATATTATTGAAATATTAATATTAATATATTATATTAATGAAATCCGCAGTCAAAACAAGAAGCGAACAACTTGAGATCAAATTAACGCTACCCGGTGTAGAACGATCAAATTCCCCGCTGTTTAAATTACTATACAACTGAATTTTAACCATATAAAAAATGTACATAGAACCCCTGATGAAACAATGACCGCTTTTTCATACCCGAATTGAGAATAGTGAATGGTACAAAACTGCATCCTGGTGAAACCATACGACAAACGCATGGTAGCATTAATACAATTCGAAGGCAACGAATATATGGAGTTCGTATTAACTAACGAATTAAATCTTCAAAATCAATTCATTTAAGTAACAATAAATAAACTGCTAGCGATGATATTCAATCAAAAATTACGGTTGGTAAGTATCCCTTCTCTAAAATATTAAGTTAAAAAACTTCTAAAAAAATCAACACGGTCACGTATAAAATAAAATAAATAGGAAACGTTGGAAAAGATGCGACAATTTTCTGCTATAATGTTAAATGTGATATTAAGTTAAAAAACTGAAAAAATTAACACGGTCACGTAGAATATAAATAAATTGGAAACGTTGGAAGAGATGGAACAATTTTTTGCTAATGTTAAATGTATAAGTCAGGTTATTTATACGTCAGTGGGAACGCTGAGACGCCATTTTATGTAACCAACCTTGAAGAACTAAATTCTGACATGAGCCTATAGGCTGCACTTCCATCAGTCTGTGCTTGAACGAATTTATTAATTCATCATTAGAAGTTAATTAATCGTTAACAGAAACAGGGGATTTCTTTAGTAAAGATGCTAATCAAAATTAGAAACCTTGCAATCGACCATAGCGATAAATTTAAACAAAATTGGTCAATTTAAAATGTAATAGATTTCTAAAATTCCAAAAAAATAAAAAGCTCAGAATTATCGGTCAGCTCAGAATTATCGGTCAGGTCAGAATTATCGGTCAGCTCAGAATTATCGGTCAGGTCAGAATTATCGGTCAGGTCAGAATTATCGGTCAGGTCAGAATTATCGGTCAGGTCAGAATTATCGGTCAGGTCAGAATTATCGGTCAGCTCAGTATCATTGCAGACACGAGCTTCTTTCAAAAATAACAATAAGTATTCGAATAAGTTTCAAATAAAATAGGAAATCCAGACAAAATTTTGGTTCTAATTTGACAATTTTGGTGGACTTCTTGAGAATGAAAATGCTAAATGTGGCGCTTATATAATTTATTCATTCATTTGCAGAAATAAAGGATGAATAATTGTATTGAAAACCTGAAAGGACGTGATTCACTATCCTTATTGTAAACAACACGTGACATGATACACTTGCCATGATTCCTATACCACTGGTATGCATTGTTTCTGATGCATTGAAATTTAATATAGCCTGATTTCAATAAGTGAGAATAAGAAATCTCTTGTACGTCATTTCCCTATAGAGAAAACTTATGCCAATTTCAGTCTTATAGGTGGCTAAGTGTAACTTATTTTCGTACAGTATTAGCACGAATGGAGATGGGAAAGTTATCAACTTTATGACACAAACTGTGACAAATTTCTTGATCATTTTTAAAAATGCGAGGATTTAAAAGAATTAGGTGAAGTTTGCAATGGTTGCTCTAAACTGTGTACAACCGCTTGAAATATTTGTCTGGTTGATTCAGCATGCGGCATGGAATTTAGAAGGATTAATATATGATCAATTGCTTATAGCGCATTGTATATAAAATTCTATTAGATTTTCTGTTTTTTTAGCTTATATTTTGGGAGTGATGAAGAACCAAGGCTGAATTGATGTAGAATATATGAAGGCATCATTCATAAAATTGTACCCTATTAATTTCAGAACATTTATCGCTATTATATGCAGATTTCTTCTAATGCAATGGTCCTTTCTGATGAAAAATTACGCACTTTTATTCAGCTAAGAAATAAACTGTAGAAATTAGTAGAATTATAAGTAGACTGTTATACATGATCTATATTTTGTTGGCTAAAATTTTAGGATACTCAAAAAATTCTACCAGCGAATTTTGTGGCCAGTGCTACCAGAGATCGCTGGATGATTGCTCCAAATTGGAAATTATGTCAGGCTGAGTTGAAGATTTAGACAAAAATGTGCTGAAAATTAAATCTATGTTCGGTTAAGGGTTGCTGAGCCACAGTGAAATGAGATGAATTCAGAAATTCATCTCCTGCGTGGAATTTTAATGAATTTCATTATGAGCGATAAAAATATTTTCTAATTTTCAAAGTGAAAACACTATTTTTAGGCTAAATAGTTACCAAGTTAGGTAACTTAACTATCTTCAAAACTATCTTAGTTTTCCGTTGACTTAATTTAACTATGCATGGCAACGTGCATCGGTAGATACTTAGTTTTCATGTTCGTTTATGTTCAGAATATTCGGTCAAATGTCGCATGAATTTCTTTCCGTTTTTTTATTTATTTTTTTAATAAAATACGGTCGATTGCATTTATAGTGTTGGTAAGTTTCGCAACGTTGGTTTTCGTTGGGCAAGTTGTAGAATTTTCAGTAATCATAACGTGAAAAATTTGTATTAGATTCAAGAAATTAAAAATTTAGTTAGGCCTAATTAGGCCGAGTTTCATCGAATTTCGAAATGACATATTTCTTCCATAACTCGGGCATGTTCAAATATTAATTAATCATGCGTCATAAAATAAAAACAAAAATTGTGAAATTTCACCAGTGTAAAAAATAAGCTAACGCACTTTGCTGTCACTTCTGTAGAACGTTACTTTGGTGAAACGTGAAGTAATTTTTCCCGAAACGTAACAGAAACATTGATTGACGAAATGAAAGAAATTAATTTCTAACGATTAATAAAATTAGGTGAAGGTAATTTTTTGGCAAAAACTCACATTTCATGCGTTTGGGACAATCCTGCTTCCTGCGAGGCATTCCGTGTAGCAGGCGAAGAGGCGACACTTGAATCACTTCAGGTCCTAAGAAGTTTCACAAAGTTGTCAAGTAACACAATTCAAGTTTATTGTCTTCACTAAATCAACTTTCATATGACATTCATCATGATCACTTCTTAACCTTGTAGAGATTCAATCTCGTAGCTATTTTTCTAAATATCAAGATGGTTTTTTCGCGGCTCCTAAAAATATCCAAGTGGGTCCAGTGCATCCTAAACTGCTTCCACTAACGGCGACAATCCGACTTTAGTAATGAATAATCCAAATTCAAGGACAAGAGTTATAAACGTGCACTCTAACTATTTCAATTATTTAAGCAATGGCATCAGGTGCTAACTATTGTGGCAACTAAGAAGTTTATTCGAGCCGAACAGCAAACGTTGCTGAGAAGGAACACATATCGGCAGCTACACCATAGCTACACAACCTCACTCTACACAAGCTTGTCACACTCTAAACGTTGCTGTCAGTCTTGGCCGTCAGCTGGAGCAGAGGCGGAGCTGACAAACGTCACTGACAGCGAGGCGGAGAAACATGACGTCACTGACAGCGAGGCGGAGGAATACTACGTCACTGACAGAAAGGCGGAGCGCTCAGCAACTCCACCCTGCGATTTGAAGGACGGTAGTTGTGTTTTTGTCTGACGTTTGAAGTAATTTCTGGCTTTTTAGTGATGGATACGGCCTAAAAAGTAGCAGTGAATCTTCTAAGACATTAAGGATCACTTTGAAAAGGTAAGAACTGCCGGCAATGTCGAGAACATGCAATAATATGAACATAATGTGTTGTCAGTTGTGTCGGCAATGCACTAGACTGATGCTGTTGCCAATATGGCGCACTGTCACGCTTGCCCTACCCATAATAAATCAAGATTTCGCCTCGTTATATAAGTGAATTTAGTACTTACCATTTTCTCTGTAGATTAACAATAAGATTCAACATGCGGCTGTGTCGTGCCTGTCTCTTAAAAATAAGTTTGAAGGGAAATTTACGACCACGCCAGGGTTTGTTTATGGTAGAGGGCAGCACCGTCCACTCGTCCGCAGGCTGCGTCGGCGCGACTTTTGAACATAGCATTTCGCGCGGCCGCAACACGTGTTAAAAATGATGGATTCTCTTGGAATTCATGCAGCCTTCCTCTGAATTATTTGTCAACAATTCAGTATAATGAACTAGAATTATAAAATCAAAGTATATCTATGACTTGTTTCGTTTTAAGCAGTGTCTCAATGCTCATCTTATGAAGTTACAATTTTTCGACGTCTCCAGCATCGACTTTGTTGATCCATCACCGCTATAAAATACAAGTTGGCTTGCAGTTATGTATATAATATCTCTCTATCTTGCTATATTGATAAACACTTTCTTAGACTCAGACGTATTCAGGGCCGTACATGTTCTCGCACATGGTCTTTAATTAAGCTGGCGCATCTCCTGTCATATTGAACACATTACATATTGAAATAAGTAAACGCCTACGTTTACGGGCATTGGTGCCTTTAGTTTAGAACGTGCTCAGTTTTATTTCCATACGGTCAAATTGACACTCTTAAGTGCGATGAATTAGCAATTGGCCAACCAATCTAATGCACTTTTGGCGTAACATTAGGAATACTTTGAGATTTTTTAGCCACTAAACATTAAATCTGCATGTTGCTTGAGAATTTGTAAGCAAGTTTCCCTGTCTCCCTTATGGGTGCAAAACTTGTCCGAGTTAGTAGCTAACCATAACCGAACCTAAGTATTTTCTTCCTCTTTTAACGCTTTGTCTGGCTAAAAGATAATGATCGAAAAGATAACTTTATCTATTTATAGCGACATTAAGAGAGATAATAACTTACAAATGGAATTGAATGCGTCTCTCAGAAAAATGAATAAGACTTTGTCCAAATACCGATTCACTTTTTTTGCCATTGTACGGGCCATTCTGACCCATCTTTTTCCGACCAAAGGGCGGATCAGGGCTACGTCCGCTCTCTGAGCGTGCTATGCGGGGAGAAAGTGGGTCACTATTTGAACAATAATGTCAATTAATTTTTTCTCCAAGTGGTTTCGAATAGCAGAAGTTTTGCGTGGCTTAAGTATTTACACGTAAACTCGCCGCCAGCCCCCCGCCGTCTCCTTCCCTCACAACATTTCCCACACAAAATTTCCCTCACAACTTTTCATTTACCACATTTGCCTCACGAAATTTCACTAACAAAATGTCCCCCACAAAATTTCCATCACGAAATTTCCCTCACGACGTAACCCTCACGACATTACCCTCACAAACTCACCCTCACGACATTACCCTCGCGACATTACCCTCACAACATTACCCTCACGACATTACCCTCACAGCATTACCCTCACAACATTACCCTCACAACATTACCCTCACAACATTACCCTCACAACATTACCCTCACAACATTACCCTCACAACATTACCCTCACAAAATTACCCTCACAACATTACCCTCACAATATTTCCCTCACAACATTACCCTCACAATATTACCCTCACAATATTTCGCTCGCTAAGTTTCTCTCCAAAAATTGCCAAATTAACGTTCATGTCACGCGGATAATGATAATGTGGCAAATAAACAACAGCGCTTAACATGGAGTGTGTAGAAATATTTATGATAATAATTTATTGTATCAATCAATTATCTGATTGCATCAATTTATTCTCGAAACGTTAGTTTAAATTTCGTTTTATTTTGTTTTGCATAGGCTTTAATTGAATGCCCTTTTGAATTGGTAACTGTCTCTTTGTTAACAGATTGTTACACTTTACGGAATCACGATGGAAGATGATGAAGATGTCCATTTCTGCATCCGATGCAAGGAATCTTTTGTAGGCATTGATAATTATGTAAATCACAGAAAACAACCGTGCAAAAAAATTCAGCATGATAAAGGAAAGAGAAAGACAAATTACGATAGTGAATTTACTCGCGAAAGCTCGACTAGAAATGCTGACGTTACGTTACAAAATTGGAATGAAGGTGAGAACATCAGGCAACGTAGAACTTCGGAGGCATTAGGTCCGTTCATGACATCGAGTAACGTTTTAGAAACCGACAAGGATCAGGTCACAAGATGCAATGATTTCGGCCCCGAATCCAAGTCCGGTGACGATGGTGGAGAACCCAGCGAATCTAACAGTCATCCAAATTTCTCTGGACACTCAAAAAACTACAGGAAAGAAGAAAAAGAAGACGTTCTTAGTAATTCAATCATGCCTGCTTCGTCCGATCATTTTACGAGGTTCGAAGACCCGCTTTTCACGAACGATGCCGCTGTTTCGTCGTTCTTTAAGTCTTTCGATTCCTTCGTCGATGGGAGGTTTCAAGGATTGAGTGACCATCAAATGCTTTTCCCTTCCAAAGAAAGTACCGAAAACTTCGAGTCTACAAGCCAAGACCTCGAGCAAAGGTACTCGGATTTGTACAATAATTTTGGTAGCCAGAGCTCGCAGGACATTGACCAGCACGCGAAAGGACCCAACCAACGACAGTCCGCAAACCGGACATCCAAAGATTCCTCCGATCATGACACCATGAAAACCTTGGGTATCCAAGAGGTGTCTTCCGTTCCAGGACTGCACGTCGATCTCAAGCAGGATGATTTTCTATCATCTTTGGATCTCAGCAGCGTCAAACTTCTGCACGAGAAACGAAAGTACAGTTTTGATGACGGAGAAGATGATGAGGAAGAATACGATAATCAGCCACCCAGCCATCACACTGGTGGGAAATGGCGACCCGGTATGATGCCTCCGCCTTCCACTGTTGCTGGCAAGTGGAGACCTTTCTCACCCAATATCCCCGAGAAGAACGACTACGATGCTGACGAAGGCGATTCAAATTTCACAAATGCTGTTGGTCCTGTAAAAATTACGCCCAGAGATAAGCCGCGTGTTCGTACCAAAGGCAAATGGCTGCCAGGAAAACGTCCACACGGCTCTCGTGGCACCCAGTCCTTTAGGTGTGACTTGTGTGAAAGTCGATTTTCTACGAAGTCCTCATACAAACGTCATATGAACATTCATGAACTCGCAGATCAAAACAAGAAATTGGAATCAATTTCAGGATCGAATAGGCCTTCCAGAGCAAAGAAACTCAAGGCTCAAACACTCATGAAGACCACAATCGACAACTGGAAAAGGAAGAAACCTCTAGCCTCTGATGAACCATCAGCCTCTGTAGCAAAAACGCCTGAAAAATATGAAGATAGCTTGGATTTTGAATTTCCGAAACAGTTATCTAACAAAGATGAAAGAATCAACACCGAATTGGTACGCCAATGCCGGAAACAGGAGAAGATGAGCTGCCCGGCCTGTCGTCTCTCGTTTAGTGTTGCGTATCTTGCCAACCATTTTGCTTCTCTCGCACATATCCACAACGAATTGGAGTACAAGCGTAGTTTGGACAAGGGATCTGCCAATGAGCAGGACCAAATAGTGTTGAATAATATAGAAACTTTGATTACCACGTGCCATTTTCATTGTGAGAGATGCAAATTCTCCTGCAACTCCATGAAAGATCTTGCATATCATATTTCTCACCATGAAGTTTTGTCGGGTTCCATCAACCAATTTCAAACTAAATTTTCATGCTCCGCATGTCCTGATGATGGTCACATGGCTCATACCGAACTTTTACATCACATTATCACCCTATCTCACGACATGGCCTGCAACGATAAGATATTGAATGCTCAAAAAGTAGTCATATCCACTCACCATTCAATCACCTGTTCAAAGTGTGACAAATTTTTCAAGTTATACAGGCAGTATGAGGACCACAGACGGAAACAACATAATCAATCCACGTTTAAACTCTCAACTCGCACGCCACGGCTTTGCCCGATGTGTTCATTTCAAGGTAATTCTTGCAAACAAGTGAGGCAGCATATCAGGAGCACCCATGACACCATGCCACACTTTGTCTGCTATCTCTGCGGCACAATGCATCAAACCAACGAAGAAGCTAAAATCCACAGATTCTCTCGAGGTCATCGCCTGAAAGCTGGCAGAGAAGAAAATGGTGCTAAACACTGCAGGTTTTGTTACTTAACTTACCCTTCACTACAATCACTTCGCGAGCATTTAAGAAGCGAACACCTCAACCACCTCACTCCATGCGTAAAATGTGGCTTTATCCCTATACTGCAAAACGACGCCCGAACTCACCAGAAACACTGCAGGGGAGAAATATTGGAAGATTGTCGAGGTTTCGCTCATCGCTGCGAGTTGTGTCCATTCAGCAGCCCTTTGTCTGCTCATGTTCTGCTCCATACAACAATCGTCCATGGCAAGCCTCTTGATGTGGAGGACAACTTCACCTGCCACATCTGCCAGGTAAATATAAAATATTTGAAGTATATTTTTCAGTTATAATAAGAAATCTAGTGAAAATAAATGTATCACCTAGGATAAAAAAAAACTTTAAAAATGCTAAAGCTCGTATTTTAACTTGTTCTTGTGTGCTTTATTTAGCTTCGATAACAAATGTTTTCCAATTGAATACCAATAAATTAAAAAATATTAATTACTTTGTAGAGATAATTGTCTCATTAGTGCCAAGTAATTTAGGTGTGTTCAACCCTCTATCTCACCGATGTTTCCATGTCTCCAGAGACAGTTAAAAAGCTCGTCTCTGAGCCGGCATATGATGTTTCACACCAAAGAGTTCCCAAATCGATGCAATTTATGCTGCCGAAGTTTCCTGCACAAAATCTGGCTATCTCGACATTTGGATGTCGCCCACCAAGGCTTGAGCGTCAACAAGGATAGGCTCCTTTGCCAGCACTGCGGACTAACATTCTCTTCCAGGTTGGTTCAGTGAAATTATTTTGAACTCTTGGTTTCTGCCAATTTGGTTCTGTGAAATACCCTGAACAGTTAAGTTTGGTCCAGTTTTTCCCAAGTTGGTTCCTTAAAATTACCCGGAACGGTAGAATTTTGTCCAGGTTGATTCTGTTAAATTACCCTGAGCAGTTTATGCAATTTTGGCCAGATTGGTTCCTTGAAATTACACTGAGCAGTTAAGTTTTTTCCAGTTTTGTCTAGGTTGGTCCTTAAAATTACCCTGAACTATTGATTTCTGTCCAAGTTGGTTCTGAGAAATTACTCTGAGCAGTTCAGTTTAGTCCAGTTTTATCCAGATTGGTTCCTTGACATTACCCTGAATAGTAAAATTTTGTCTAGAAGGCTCGCTTAGGTACGCGTAGCCGCCAATTTCTCGTCTGTGATTAGTGATTTTAGCTTTAAAAGCCGTCACTTATTGGCTGACAAAGCAATGAACTCGTAACTATTTTTAATAGTTCATTTTCATGTTGGTTCCTTAGAATTACCCTCAACCGTTGAGTCTCCTTAGTTCCTTGAAATTACTCTGAAATTACCCAAACGGAACACGAAAATTTTGATAAACGTTTCGTTACTAAAAAACATTTTTCCCATTTTCGGAAAACAGTTATATATGATATAAAATTATTCAAATTATAAATATATATTACAAAATTATTCATTAACTATATTTGTATCTTATATTGTATATTATATGTTACATGACAGAACGTTGCTCACTCAGCACCTTAGCAGCTGCAGTTCTAATCCAGCTCGCGCGCAGCAGCTGCGTAAGCGCGTGCTGACGCGCACGAGTCAGCGCTTCTTGAAGGACTCTGACACTCTGTCAGCTGATGTCGTCGGTCACGTCTGTGAACTGTGTGGTGAACAGTGTCAGACTCTGTCAGCTCTGGCAATGTAAGTATTCGGCCATTACCTTAAACGTATCTGAACGTATCTTAACTTAACTCAGGTACCTATGCACATTAAGTTTAAAAAATCCAAGTTAACACATCTCAACCTAACTCAAGTTAACAAATCTCAACCTAATTCAAGTTAACAAATCTCAACCTAATTCAAGTTACCACATCTCAACCTAATTCAAGTTAACAAATCTCAACCTAATTCAAGTTACCACATCTCAACCTAATTCAAGTTAACAAATCTCAACCTAATTCAAGTTACCACATCTCAACCTAATTCAAGTTAACAAATCTCAACCTAATTCAAGTTACCACATCTCAACCTAATTCAAGTTAACAAATCTCAACCTAATTCAAGTTACCACATCTCAACCTAATTCAAGTTAACAAATCTCAACCTAATTCANTGATAGCAGGTGCCCGCACTGCGCGTATACTGCCAACAATCAGGTGATAGCAGGTGCCCGCACTGCGCGTATACTGCCAACAATCAGGTGATAGCAGGTACCCCTAAACTATAATAATCAGGTGATATTAAAGGCTCCTACACTGCCAATAATCAAATACATCAGGTGCCTACACTGCTAATTATCAGGTGGTATCAGGTGTTAGATCGGCCAATCGATGAATTCGAAATTTCTGGCACTCGAACATAATTTATGTTCTATTTTTTATAGGATTAGCTTAGTAGAAAAGTTAATAGGAAAAATAACCCCGTGTAGTGAAATTAAATGAAATAATTTGCGCTAAATGCTCTTGAAATTTAATAAAACCCATCCTTACTTTTCCTAGGAAAATTTGCGCCGGCACATGAAGACCAAAAAGCATCCAGGACGTTTCTTGTACGAATGCAAATTTTGTGAACAAATCCCGGACCGCGCGAGCAATCAACCTGTCATCACTTCTACTGGAACATCGACTGCATCTACTGGGCCATCATCTGCTTCTACTGGGAAATCGTCTGCGTCTACTGGGCCATCGTCTGCTTCTACTGGGAAATCGTCTGCGTCTACTGGATCATCGCCTGCTTGTACAGAAACATCGTCTGCATCTACTGGACCAACGTCTGCATCTACCGTACCATCGTCTGCTTCTACTGGAACATCGCACGAAGCTACTGGAAAATCTTCAGCTTCTACTGGACAATCGTCTGATTCCGCTGGACCATCGTCTGCTTCTACTGGAACATCGCACATTCCCAAGGAAATTAAAATATTTAAGACTGACTTGGCTGTGGAGTTTAAGCGACATCTTCAAGAGGAGCATTTGCATCACTTCGACCATTTGGATGAGGTGACATATTGCCAATCGAGAATGCATTATTACTAATATTGAAATCAACATGAATTTAATATCAAAGAAAATATGGCAAGAAAATTCGCCATAATTTGAATAAAATGAATTTTAATACATGTTTTAACTTTAGTATGTTCAATATTTTTCCCTTAGATAACGCGTCACGTGCGAAGCTACTACCAGCCCGAAGAAGACTTACTCTCTTGTTGGGAGACCGAGGCAACCATACAGGACGAGGACGAGTGAGTTACAATTGGTATCATAAATGTTTTGTATGTTACTTGTAAACAACTTACAAGTGAAACAACTTATTGAACACACGCATATTATTGGATATGTACATAGACATTAACTGTAGTCAATGATATTCGTATCTAAAGACCTGGTAAAACTGAGGAGACTAATTGAAATTTGAGTGCGCAGAACTAGTATTAAATTTACGAAGTACTTTTTTCTTTCCATTACATTTTTCTGTCCTCGCAGGCTCGTCGATTCATACAAAAAGAACAAGAAACGAGCTTCTTCGAGGAAGTCGAATCCCAAAATTCATACCCTGACAGACACAGCGAAACAGAAAACTAAGCAACATGTCAAGCCGAAATCAAAGAGCGCAAAACTTTTGACTGCATCCAAAGATCCAAAATGTAAAGTTTCTACCGGCAACGACGAAATGAAGCAACCTCCTTCTCTGAAGGAAAAATTCATTAATGTAAAAGTAGAGAATGCAACAACTTTAGCTACCGTTCTTAAAACTGACCGATACGAAGGCTCGTCCAAGGTTCCTGGAACGTCAACTCAACCTAACTCTGAAGATGGTCGTCAAATTCCCAGTCTTTCCAAGCATGCAAGTCAGCCCATGTTTGTGAACAAAAGTATTATCTCTTGCCCACGAGTCGAGCCTATTTCAGTCAAAACCAACACCTTACTTGGAAACTTAGTTGGTACTTACCCAGTCAAGCCTCCGTCCTTTATTAACGCAAATACACTTGGAATTTCCCAGCCATCAGCCTCCGGACGTACCTTCCTGTTAACGCCCCCCGCCCCGCTGTCTTCTACTGTTATACAACCAACCATTCAACCTCAATTGTTGTCATCAGTAATTTCGAGTGTACCATACGGTTCATCTGTGATTCCGATTCAGCTCCCACAAGCAAACCAACCTCTGATCTTAGCTTCAAACATGTCGGCCAAAAATGAAGTTCCGCGCATCGTGCTGCAGAATCAGAAACTGTGTAATCCTGTTTGGCAGCTTGCTGCTCCAGTGCCAGTTACAATCAACGATTCATTTCCATCTCAGATTTTGAGTTCTAACGTTTTTACATCGTCAATGGCCGGGCAAACTGTCAATTCCAACTTAATTCCAGGCAAAACATTCGGTGTAACTGAAAGCGTTGGGTTTCCCCCAATGAATTTCCCATCGTCATCCACAGCCGTCCCTCAACCAAATGCATCACTCCTTGCAAGCGAGTCTACAAATAATCCAAACGTAATGCATTCACATATCATCCCAATTGTTAACTATGATCCATCATCATCATCACCAGGTCAAGTAAACACCCCATTAAATATCACACATGTTGTGGCAGGATCCTCACTCAACAGTGAAGTGAACATGAAGCGTGGCTTCCAAATCCTTCATAACATGGCTGCTGTGGCCCCAACAGAAGCACCTAGAGTTCCAAGCTCGTCCCAGGATTCAAATAATTATGCAAGTTCGGTAACAGGATCTTGTGAGGGGCGTGATTTGGTTAGAGAAGCTGGCACAGACCCTCAGAGTCCTCGTTTAAATTCCGTAGCTTGTACATCCAGCGGCACGACAGCGGCCCAAACCCTTATTCCTAAGCCCAACTACAGCGATGTCCGAGCCTCTCGCCTGTCCATTGTTTGTAAAAAAGTTAAGGTACCGAAGCAAAATATTCACTAGTTTATAAAATGATTGTCAAGATATTGCAGGAATAAAGCTCTAATAATTAATTTAGGTTAGTTTCCTGAAAATGCAATTTATATTGCTTGTCATAACATAATTTTCGTGTAAATTAATTGTTCAATCTATAAGTAATGATCTTGCGTTTATATTCGCTTAATTGAAGATCAAAACTTTATTTCAATATTCGGGAAAACTGGATTTCTATTACTAACAACTGACTGATAAGTTTCCGAATTAATTTACTTTAAAAAACCGTAGGTTTTGGTTTTAAAAGCCCGAAAAACCCCTTGTCCCATGGTTAATAATTCATTTATGTTAAAACGTGGTGAATAAAACCTATTTCCAACCACATACACCGTTTTAAATTGTATTTGCTTTTCTCGCCTATCTACTAAATTTGTTTTGCACTTGAATGAATAATTTTTAATTATTTTATATAACCTCAGCCAATTTTTACACTTATAAAAAATGCTGGCTGCGCGAGGTTCGAGAAGTTTCATACTTATTTTTCTCATAATTAAAAATGGTTCATTCTTGTATGGAAAACATTTTCTATTTTATAACACAATTTTTTCGGATAGTTGAGTATGACTTGTGAACGCATAAACTGCTTTTTAAATACTCCGCTGAATTTTGCTTCACAATGCTGACTCGTGCCGGTAAAAGAAGCGCCCTTTTTAAATACACCGCTGAATTTTGCTTCACAATGCTGACTCGTGCCGGTAAAAGAAGCGCCCCCGTCTTCCAGTTTTGTGAAGCTGGTAATCTCATGGAAATTTAAGAGGTGGATGAAGGTGACATGTTTACTGTCGTGCCTCGAGTTGTTGTTTAATCCGTGACGTCATAACTTAAGGTAATTAGCGTGAGATATGCGAGCTGATGCTTGATCCGGGCTCGTTTCGGCTCCCCTCCAGCCTGATGCGTCTTTTTAGTGCTGCGTCTTGTTACCCACTGTCTTAACCCTCAAACTCTGTCTTAACCCTCCTGCAGCTTGACGAGTCTTGTTACCCTCTGTCTTAACCCTCAAACTCTGTCTTAACAATCCTGCAGCTTGATGGGTCTTGTTACCCTCTGTCTTAACCCTCCTGCAGCAAGACGAGTCTTGTTACCGTCTTTCTTACTCAAACTTTGTCTCAACCCTCTAACTCTGTCTTAACCCTCAAACTCTGTCTTAATCATCAAACTCTGTCTTAACCCTCAAACTCTGTCTTAAACTCAAACTCTGTCTTAACCCTCAAACTCTGTCTCAACCCTCAAACTTTGTCTCAACCCTCAAACTCTGTCTACTCAAACTCTGTCTTAACCCTCAAACTCTGTCTTAACCCTCAAACTCTGTCTTAACCCTCAAACTCTGTCTTAATCCTCAAACTCTGTCTTAACCCTCCTGAAGCTTGACGAGTCTTGTTACCCTCTGTTTAACCCTCAAGTTTTGTCTTAACCCTCTTGCAGCTTGACGAGTCTTGTTGCCCTTTGTCTTAACCATCAAACTCTGTCTTAACCTTTCTGAAGCTTGACGAATCTTGTTACCCTCTGTTTAACCCTCAAGTTCTGTCTTAACCCTTCTGAAGGTTGACGAGTCTTGTTACCCTCTATTTAACCCTCAAGTTCTGTCTTAACCCTCTTGTAGCTTGACGAGTCTTGTTACCCTTTGTCTTGACCATCAAACTCTGTCTTAACCCTCCTGCAGCTTGATAGGTCTTGTTATCCTCTCTTACCCATCATTACACATATCATTACCCAATATACAGCTCCTCGCTACCCATTATTTTCACCTTCTTGCAATTGGAATACTTTATTTATATGCTATCATCTTGATTACTCTTTGTCTTAGCCCTAGCTCAAAATTTATGTTGTATTTCCTGCGAAGCTTTTCTCCTTCAATTTTTCGCTTGCTTCTCCATAAAATTTTAGCTTCTCCACACTCATCGAATGTTCTCAGCACTAGAATTTCACAATTTTTGAGTAATTTTTCACTATACTTTCCTAAATTTTAGGAGAAAGGAAAAAATTCCACCAGAAAAATCTACTGTTTTATGCCCACTTTTTTCATCTTAGAACACCAAGGGTGTCCAAATTATTAATCAACAGTCGTTGAAAGGCGACATTTAAAAATATTTTAATTTCAACTTCTGTATTTCATCAAAATCCCTGAATTTTATCACCATATCAGCATAGTATATCTGAACTTAATATAACTATGTTTCACTCACGAACCGTCACTTTTTTACGATGTTAAAACTTCCTACTCCGATTTTCCCGCCACGTTTTCTTGAATTTGACGCCAAAATTTATGTGTTTCGGCCATCAAAGAGGCCATAAAATCCCGTGTTAACAAGCTTTGCGAGTTACGTCCAGAACAAACCAATACAAACGTACACAACGCGACCCTTGTTCTTGGCACTGAGGGGAGGGTGCGGGAAGAGGGGAGACAGTGAGGGAAATGGGGGATAGAAACGAGGGAAGATGTATGTTTATGAATGATATAGGACGGCGAATATACTTGCAGGAGCGGAAATAGAAAATAGGGAAAAAAGATAGGTGTAGTGTAGAATTTGTGTAGAAGTTGATAATTACGCTGCAGTAGGTGGAATGGAAGATAGGGAGAGGTGTAGAGAGGAATGATATAGGATTCGTGATTGTAGTGCAAATGTGAAATTCAAAAGAGTGAAGGAGGGGATGCATATAGGCAAATGAATGGAATATAGAATATGCACCTATATTATATATTATAATATATATACAGTATATATAGAAGAGAAGGTTGGGGGAGGCAGTGAAGGTTGAAATGATAATGAATGAAGAATTGAGTTTTTAGTGAAATACTGGTTGGAAGGGGGAGGTGAAGAAGATGAAGAAAGAATATTATAGGTGCAGAATTAAGAAAGGGAGCTCCGTAAGAAACACAACAAATTATTGTAAATGATCTGCATTGTAATGATTTAATGGCAAATCGTGAATAGTTAGAAAATAAATTGAATTATATTGCACCCAGTAACAAATTTTGTTTATGAAATATTGTAGTCATTCTTTATGACGATTTACAATCACCTTAGTTTGATACAGTCACTCTGCCGTGCCACAGTCACTCTGCAGTGCCACATTCACTCATGCTGCAATTAAATCATTCTAGATACATTAAATTGTGAACGATTACAACTTGGATTACCGACCATAACGTAAATATATTTATATTGACATGGATCTGACTAGGAGAAGATGGGTCGCCTGGGTGTGAAATAGTCCAGTACTCAATTAAGTAATGCCAGTATATACCGGTAGTTAGTTACTGTAGTGACTTCCCAATGATTGGCAAGCACTGGAACTGCTATAATTATAAAAAATAACTCGGTAATCACTGCAATGAGTGACAGAGAGCGCATTTTCTCGTCGACGAAAACGTGAAGTCACGGACGGACGGACAGACAGACGAACATGGCGAGCACAATAGTGCATTTTTTCCATAAATGAGAAAATGCGCTGAAAAGACACACTTGCTACAGGAATATTTTATCTGTAATGACCATACCGATTCATAATTATGAATAAGAGCACTCATGCTTGCTACAGGCACAAATTATCAGTAATGATCATAACGACTCGTATTTATAAAAGTACTCATGCATGCTAACGACACGTTATGAGTAATGATCATAACGGCTCATAATTTTCAATGCAATAAAAGACACAACAGACAACAGTGCGTGACAGTTACGACTGTAACTGGAGAGGACACGCCGATGAGTCCTGGTATCAGTGACTGTAACAGTACACTGTAGAGATACGGCCAACACATTGCCCAACACGACTGACATGCGTACTTCATCATGCACGACTGTGAGCCAACAGCAACT